GAATTCTTAATATGCATGTTCCATTCAGCAAGTTTCTCCGACTAAACACTGAATATGATCGTTTAATTTTGCATTAAGGTATCTTGAAGTAAAGCAGAACTAGTTTATTTTGCATTGCATTGTTTCTTTTTCAAGTAGTGCTAACAATCATTTTATTTTTGGGCTCAATCTTTTAATAGCTATTTGGATATATTTCACGTTGTATATTTCAAAGGTTTTTGTCCTAATATATTCTGAATTTTCAGCTTTTTGTCTGATAGACGTTTTCGTTTTTCGAAATGAAAACTGGTTATTGTTATCTGCATTTTTTTTTCAACAACATGATTTTGTCTTGCCGTTTTTTGTTTTTCAACTTGCGACAGCAAGTTTACTTTCAACCTGAACATAGGCTTTTTTATCATCAACAGCTTTTATTACTAGTCTAAGAAATGCTAACAGATACTGTCACGTCCAAGTGCAGGCTGATGTGCTCTTTTTGGAATTTCGGAAAAATTTCGGTTAATTTTAAGTTGAAATAAATTTTATCAGTTTTTTTTCGGATTCGTGATTCCTGTTATACTTTTTGTCATTTTTTCTATTCTTGATTCAAATGCCTTTTTTAGTACAATTTTTGTCGGATTGTTTTCCAAAGAATATATTGTTTTTCTGTTGGGATCAATTTTATCATCGTTGAAAAGTTATCAACTTTTGAATGATACTCTTTCGGTCAAAAGGTTTTGGCTTATGTTATATGGGTTTAGTCACCTCGTGCTGCGTAGTTAAAAGAAAAACAAGTTTTCTACGCTTTTGCGTGTTTTTGGAGGATGAGTTTCAAAATTTAAAAGCTCAAAGTTTTTACGACTGTTTTCTTTTTGGGATAACGGGGATCGACTCAAGTATTGTTGGATTAGTTGCAAATCGCGAAGTTGATTTGGCTGCTTAGACGCGCCTTTTGTTGCGTTCACGGCATGTTTTGTTGAAATCGATTATCATTTTAGTCAAGCATTTGGAAGTTTATATTGATGTAGTTTTTACTAGTCAGATCCACTCTCGAACCCAAATTCAAGCCCGACATTGATCACTTGCTTATCGAAAACAAGAATAGAATCTCCAAGCATGACTATGTCAGAGGAATAAAACAACTTAACACATCAGATGTTTCTCAACTAAAAATCTAGGCTACTTGGCAGATTAAGACCACTATTTTTAGCAAACGAAAGTAAAATTGGCCGGAAAACCAGATGTACATCTCACAATTTTGATCCGGGTACTCAACTAATTTGATTGGTTACCATCCAAGACTGATCAGCAAGGTTCCTGTCGTCTGCCCAAGTAGTTACTAAGGAACATTTATTTAACTGCCGAGTTCACGCAATCTTCTTTGCCAAATTACAGACTATTAAGATTCGACTAACGTAGTTCAGACTCTTATATAGGTCGCGATGATTTTTGCTTTTTTTTTCAGGAAAAGTTTCTCAAGTTGGAATAATTGTTATCAAAAAGTGCTATTTTAAATTTTTTCAAGAAAGTAAAGAGCCGTAAGTTCGAATTTTGAGACTTTTTTTCCAAATAAAAACAAGTTAGTAATTTTTTTCTGTTTACTTGCGTTCAGTGACTCTTTTCCAACTGTCTGTTGGGTATGTCTATTTTGAAAACTCTGTAGAAGCAACGACTTGAAATGACAAAAGTATATTTGTTTTAGTTTTTATTAAGTGTTTAATCGAGTTTGTAGTTACACCTGCGAAAAGCAAGGGTGTTGCAATCAGGTACTAGCCAAAAATTTTGTCAAATTTTTGTTGGATTGTTTTCCAAAACGTGGATTGTTTTTCTGTTGTGATCATTTTTACTATACTTGAAAATTTTTCTGTATTTTAACAAATTTATTAAATCTGATTTGGTAAAACATTCCTCTGGTTAAATTGTTTCTTTCGTCTAATGTTATATCGGTTAAGTCACCTACCTTACATTGCGTAGCTCAGGTTAAAACATGCAACTCGATGAGCGCGTGCCCACGACGCTATATAAACCCATTGAGAGGGGGTAGGGGCCCCTCGGAACATTTGACATTTGGCCAGTTTAACGTTCCTACTTTTTTTAAAAAATCAATCGGATGCTCAAAAACTACCCGCTAGAACCTAGAAACCGGAAATAATAGCAGCTTGTTAATGCCACTTTTTGATGGTTTTATTTATGAGATGGGTTTTGGTCATTTTCGCCCTTTTCCCAACGACCCCAAAAAGTGATTTTTTCAATTTTCTCTAATTCAGTAACTTTGTTGGCTTTGGTTAAGAAGAACTTTTTATTATTGCCTAAGAAATGTGGTATGATGCTTAAAACCGTTCGGCATAATTTTTTTTTGCTTTTGCGAAAAGTTTAAAATTTCACTCTTTAAGACAGTCATCTAAGGGTCGAAAAATGAAAAAGTTTTTCAAGTTGAAAATAATGGATTCTGATATCAAAAACGAGTTTCCCGTTGGAAAATATGTGCGTGTGCAGCAAAAACGCCGAAAACTTTTTTTTTTGGAGTTTTTTTGCTTATATAATTTTCTTATTTGGTCGTTTAACCGAAATTTGTAGTAAAAATTTTTTTTTAAATTCCAATCTGTCTGACATTAGATTCAGTAGTTTAGGTCATATATAGCCAGGTAGAAAGCTTGAACTACTAGCATTCAATGTAAGCTGCCGCAATTTTGATGTGAAAGATGATTTGTTGTGAAAGATGATTTGTTGTGAAAGATAATGAATTTGCTGAAAGTAATACGAAAAAAAACCTGAAAAAAAGTCAGAAGAATTTTTTTTGCAATTCTTGTAGGATGCTCTGTGGGCCCCTTAGGGCCCAGTAGAGGAGCATCCGACTCAAAAGTATCTGAAAAATGGAAATAAAAAATCGTTGTTTTTTTTTTAAGCCATCATGTTCAGTTTTTACTGAGCATTATAATTGCGCTCGAAGGGCGCATTTGTCACGCAAAAGCGTTTTCAGCTGCCCTGCATTCCATTAAAAATTGCCAGAGTGCGCGCATGTTAAGACTAAAATTACGCAAAAGTCATGCGAAGGTTGACGCAGACCTGACTGGCTAGTTGAGTGAATCTGAATGATTAGCTAACGCTTTTGTCTTTTCATCACGTTTTGTTCAAATCGAACATTAGTTGAGTCAATTTATTTATTATCTATTTAAATGCGGGGATGACTATTCCGCTATATTTCAGCTTTTTCAACTTAATATTTTTGCATGTTCAACGAAAGAGTTTCACATCAAGCTGTATTGTATATTGCTATGGTAAAGAAATTTATTATCGATTTACCAGTTTTGAATCGCCGTTGGTTTATACAAGTTTTAAATTAGCAACTCAAAAATTGGAGGCTGTTAGGATTCCCCCAGGGGTTGCAATTTTGGCCTTCACTTATGAATACCTAAATTCTTTTTAGTTTACGAGATACGACGATTTCTGAAATATAAATTAAAAATTCTCTACCCTATAGTTGGGCAATGTCAGGGTACCCCCAAGGTTGCGAACTTTGTCTCAAAATATGACATCCCAATTTCTTGTAGTTTTCGAGATATGACGCTATATGATTTTTTTTTCAAAAAAACTTAATCCAAATACACTGAGCAAAAATCGGAAAATTTTCCAAACTATGGTGGGGTGCTGTCAAGGTACTCTCAAGAAAATGTCTGGACTCCAAATATGACTGCTTATTGAATATCACTTCACAGATATCACGTTTTTAAGAGTAATGAACGTAGTGAAGACTCTTATATAGGTCTTGCTGATTTTTTTTTTTCAGGACTGTCTTAAAATGCTCTTATAACTACAGATGTGCATTCATACATATTGATGCATTTATGAATGCCTTTATGTTTACATGCTCTTTTCGACTTCAATTAAAATGCATCTGCTGAAAAAGACGTAAATAGCACTCTCGAAATACGAACATGGAAATGGCGCCAAAAAACGTGAACGGTTTCTAGTTTTTTTTAAGTGAGTTCAATTTTTGGTTTTCCAGCGGAATGAAAACTTCACCTGTTGATCCAGTTTTCTCAAGTTGGGTTAATGTTATCAAAAAAGGCCAGCATAAATTGTCTTAGAAGTTCAAAGAGCATAAAGGTCATCTATTTTTTTCTTGAAATTCGAAAGTTGAGATTTTTTCAACAAAGTCAGTGTTTTTTTTTATGTCCACTTGCGTTCATTGCTCTTTTCCTATCATCGATTGGCGATGTTCGATTTTTTGAAAACGTTTTCGAGAGTTTTAATTTTTAAAAGTTAAATTTGTCGACGAATTGGTGGGGTGGTGTGAATTCAGGGAACTCAGTTGTAGTTGTGGCCGCCATCTTCTGTTATTGCTTAAATTTGTTAAAATTTCGAAATTGACTTTTTTAAATGATATTTCAAAATTTTTTTCTAAAATAAAATTTAAATTGAGAAAAAAGTCTGATGTTTTTAAATTAGTTACGCTAGATTTGATAGCAGCAAACGATATAAGTACGGGATAATGAAAAGAAAGCTAAACAAAGGTCTAATTCATGAATTCAGTGGTTTTGCCAATGAAATCGTTAAATATAGAAAATGCACATGTATGCTGTCGGCCATTTTAGTGTTTTGTTTAGAGTTCAAAATTGAAGATCTTAAATCCAGTAATTTCGGAGATTCGACCATTTTGGTTTAAAAAGAAGCTTTAAGTTAAAATGTTCTTATTTATATGCAGTTTTCATGTATATTAATTTGTTTGAAGCACCGGAAGTTCCTTGCACGCTAGTTGTTTTGAAGGTTTTGTAGATCATGTTTTCGCCATTTTAAGTAATTTTTTCCAATTTACTTTTTCAAATAATTTTCTGCTTTTTTTCTCTACCTTGCAATGTACTGTTTTTCTTGCATCTCAAGTATTTTAATGCTCGGATTTAATTTTCCGATTGTCAGTTCATCTGCAAATAGTGATATTCTTTCATTTTTCTATCGCGAAGCTCTGATTTGCCTCTGTGTCAAAAAATCGAATTAATTCGATGAAAATTACTTGTGTTCAGATTCGGGGCGAGTGTAGGAGGTGAGCTGCTGTGTGCTTTGCTGGCCTTCCCTAACAAGTACGTGGTTTTATTCGGGGCCTTCTTCTCTACAGTGGGCGCGGGACTGCAGTCACTCACAGGCGCCCCTCGACTTCTTCAGGCCATCGCCAAAGACGACATCTTGCCCCCACTCAAGGTGACTTTACTGTCTAATTATAGTCTCAGCTGCGTCAAAAGTTATGACAGATAAATAACATTTAGAAAAGTTTGGAACAATTGAGTGCTGAGGCTATCTGCTAAAATGATATTTGATCAGTTTTGACAAAAACTATTTTAGTTTGATCGAGCTAAGGATGGGAATTTTGTTTTGTTTGCCATTACGATTAGTAATTTCATTTCGACAACTGGGCCTGAAATGTTTTGAAAAATCACTGGATTAATTTTCTGTTTCAGTATTTTGCCAAAGGCAAGAAGAACGGGGAGCCTTCCTGGGCACTTCTGCTGTCGGCAGTTATAGCTGAGGTCGGCATCCTCATCGCATCTGTCGACTCAGTTGCACCAATCATCACAATGTAAACAATTGAACCAATCAGCTCATCCAGATTCATATGTGCATAGCATTTTAACGCCTGATCTGTATGTGTTATGAACCCTCAAGTACAGTTATTGAACGCCACGCAAAAGTCAAGACTAAGCTAAAGACACGGTTTTCAAGGGGGCTCACAAATACAAACTGGCTTACGCTCACAGAAAAGTCAAATTATTAATCCGAACGCTGAAAGTGGTAGTCGGCTGCGTTTTAGTTTTTATCTGTTTTTATTACGTTTATAAAAAGCAATAATAACAAATAATGTCAGATGAGGTTGAGAGATATATCATATTGAAGCCATTTCAGTCGTGTTTCGATCGATGTCAAAAAGATTTTTCCAAGAAGTTTAAACCGTTTCAACAAAAACTGGTTTGAAAAGTTAATACTTTTAAGTCCAATTTAGAGCGAAAAAAACGGGCAAGTAGAGTAAAAACCGAAACATCTAGGCAGCTGCATTTTATCGGATAGCTTCGAGTGATATATCATATTCAAAGCATTTCAGTCATATTTCGATCAATACCCAAACGATTTCCTTGATCTCGTTTCTTTTAGAGTTTTTCCTTTCAGAAAATACTGTGGTCTGAACCTATTATGTTACTTGAACAGCAATGCATTTCATGTTTTTATGTGCTTTGCAGTATTAATTAAAGGGAGTATGTGTTTTGCTTAGATTCTTCCTGATGTGTTACCTCTTTGTGAACTTGGCATGTGCAGTGCAAACTCTCCTCAAGTCGCCGAATTGGCGCCCAAAGTTTAGATTTTACCACTGGTGAGTGCTTCATGCTGCCCTTCATTACAAAAAAGAATACTGAATATCCGTTAACTAGATATATAACAACAAATATTATTCAAAGTTCATAGGCAATGTAGAAATTGAAAGTTTTTCGGACAAAGACAATAGTTACTCTGATTGCACAAAGTGTAAAGGTCACGAAAAACGTGATGGACTTCTAATTTTGAAAATGGAAATTTATTATCAGATTTCCCAGCGAAATAAAAGTTTTACCGTTTGATCCAGTTTTCTCAAATTGGGTTAATTTTAACATAAAAGTGTCCATCATAAATGGTTCTACAAATTTAAAGAGCTTTCAGGCCATCTATTTTTTTCTTCGAAATTCAAAATTTGAAGAATTTTGAAAAAAAACAAGTCGTTTTTTTTAGTTGCCGTGCGTTCATTTCTCTTGATGTTCACATTTTTTGATGTGGAACTAATTACATTTGCGAAAAGCTGCTCAATTAATTGATGATCATTATGCGAAAAAAAAAACCTTTTCTATGTTCCATTTTTTTTGCGTTTAGGCTATTGCCGAAATTTGTTGCATAATTCATGGTAAAAATAGTTTTAGATAATCAGATGGAAACTTTTTGCCGTTTTATGAGGTGGAAGAGAAAGAATAGATTGATTGTATTCGTCAAATTGTTCTTTGTGATTTCTATCGCTGCTTTTGTAGGGGTCTCTCTTTGTTGGGCATGGCCATTTGCTTGTTCATCATGTTCATCTCCAATTGGTGGCAGGCCCTGATAGCCATGCTGATTGCTTTGGGGCTCTACAAGTATATAGAATTCGCTGGGGCCAAGAAAGAATGGGGAGACGGGATTCGGGGTCTGTCCTTAAGTGCCGCCCTGTACGGTTTGAGAAGACTGGAGGATTCGGAAGTTCACACTAAGAATTGGAGACCACAGATATTGGCGTTGCTTACGGACAATGAAGATGTATCGAGTGATGCCATCAAAGCGAGTTTCCCATTTCCCTTCATCAGTCAGCTCAAAGCAGGTGAGAAATTAATGTTATGGTTCGAGTCTTATTAAGACTATTTACATACGTCGTGTTGATTTTTTTTCGTTTTTTTTTCAGGAAAAGCCCTTAAATGCTCTAAAATAACAAAAGAAGTGTATTCATTCTTATAAATTCACATATGAAAACCATTAGGTATATATCCGTTTTTTTTAGTTGAAGAATATAATTTGCTAGAAGGTTGGCAAAATAGTTATGAAATTGGAACTCAATTTTAAGGTTTCCCAAGAAATAAAAACTTTTCCTGGTAATCCAGTTCTCTCAAATTGGGTTAATTTTATTAGTAGTTATTAATGTAGTGAGTCCTCTTATACAGGTCTTGCTGATTTAAAAAAAAATTTTCCGGAAAATAGTTTTAAAATTTGTTCACGCTCGATTTTGATTTTTCCCGGTTTGACTTTATTTCTATTTAAGTTCAGTGAATTTTTATTGTTGAAAGAAAGGCAAACTCCACTATCGAACAGCAAAATTGTAAAGGTCACGAAAAACGTGATTGACTTCTAACTTTTGAAAATGGAAATTAATTATCAGATTTCCCAGCGAAATAAAAGTTTTACCGTTCGATCCAGTTTTCTCAAATTGGGTTAATTTTAACATATAAGTGTGCAGTATAAATGGTTCTAAAATTTAAAGAGCTTTAAGGCCATCTTTTTTTTCTTCGAAATTCAAAAGGTGAAGATTTTTGAAAAAAACAACAAGTCTGTTTTTTTTTTAATTTTCCTTTTTTCCAACTGTCAGTTGGCTATGATCAAAAAGGGCCAATTATAGATTGCTCTGGAAGCTCAAAAAGCTTCAAGGTCATGTTTTTTTCTTTGAAATTCCAACCTTTAAGTTTTTCAAAGCGTTTTCTTTGCGTTCATTGAATTGTCTGGTGGCTATGCTTAAATCTAAGGGTGTTTTTATATATATGAGCATCTTTCTGGCTTCATGCTTGATGTTTACACTAGCCAGCGTAGTGTAATAGTGCGACTAAGTCGCAATTATTGGTGGCACCGTAACGGCTCTTTGATAGATTGTGCTTTCATTTTCGATTAGTAATCACTTGATGCCATTTTAATTCATCAAATGAACTGAAAAAATGCCATTTCTTTCGAACAACAATAAAATCATAAAACCTCGATTTCAGAAATTTTCCACCTAAATCTCGCAATTTTTTGAAATGCTCAATTTCGTGAGTATGTTTTGCATTTGGTGGGTATTCAAAATTAAAATTCAGTCACACTTGTACAAAATTGAAGAGTCACTCGCGTTAGTACCAAAAATTCAATTGACCAACGACTATTAAGCTAATCCGAATATTTTTAGCTCTTGTTGTAAGGTTTCCGATGAGTGCGTCGCCGCTTTGTGGCAATAACCTGCTCTAATTTTGTAGAGAGTGCTGCCCTGTGTTCGAAAGTTTGCAACAGGTTGGCGCGACTGCGACTATAACTATTCTCTGCGTAATTTTCTGCTGTGATTTTAATACTTCGACCAATCAGAAATTGAGTTTGAAACTTTTGATACAAATGGCTCCAATTTTTCTTCGGTATGGGGTTTCATGTTCCAATTTATTACACGCAAAGCTAGTGTGGAATCATTCAGTTTGTTATATTCTAAGTTTTTATATCCAAAGTTGTCCATTTGTGTTCGGTGCCATTTGTGTTTTGTCCAATGCTGTATCGCAATGACAATTTGTTAGCATATCTAGCTGCTTTATTTGTGACTAGTATTAGTAAACTGTTGAGTGCCGGTAGCGCAGATGCGATGACCGGGAACTCTAATTCTCCTGGTCGTAGTATCGCATCCGCCAGAGCAAAAGTTTTAAATATTCAAGGCTCATTTTTACCTTTTTCTTATTTCTTTTTATAGGCTGTTTTTTGTTTTCTTGCTAGTGCTTGCGAAGCGCAGCTTCGCCTCTGTGTTATATAGGTTGACGAAAAATACTTTCATCTCGGCGTTTGTGCTTAGGCAAGGGTCTGACAATAGTGGGGTCTATAATAGAGGGTAGTTTGGACGAGAGCAAGTGTGACATAAAGGAGTTGCTGACCGAGTCCATCACAGAGTGCATGCGAACCAGTAAGGTCAAGGGATTCACTCAGGTCTCAATATCTCACTCACTCCTCAACGGATACATCAACATGTAAGGGTTACAATATCAAAGGACAAGCATCGGAAGTCTTCTTACCTGACCATATCAGCATAAAAGCTTGAACTAGAAGTAATTTGTACCATCAAAACGTTTCGAATACAACAATAGTTCAATATATTCGCTAAGGTCCTTTCTGTGGTTCGCAAATGCACATTTTTAAATTGATTAATTCTTAGCGGAATTGCGAATTGATATCCGAAGTGATCGAATGTTTTCTCTCAAATGTCTGGTTTTGGGTGTCTTATATTTTGTCCGTACATAGGCTCCAGCTAAGCGGGTTGGGAGGTCTGAAACCTAACACAGTACTGATGAACTGGCCAAAGCACATCATGGAAGGAAATGACTCAGAGGAAGACCTTTCTACCACTGATTTCACCCAGCAGGCTAAATTGTTCGCAGACGTGTTGCATGGAGTGACGAATAGCAAACAGCATGTGTTCATTGCAATCAAGAATCAAGAGGTTTTCCCCACCAACAAGGAGATTCAAAGTGGAAACTGTTAGTTGAAAACAGACAAAATTTGAGCTGTACCAAAATCGACAGACTATATATGCGTGAGCCTAAAAAACAGGCACAATTTTCCATGATAAATATTTAACTATGAATCGTTTTTTGCCAAATGTTGTTTGACAATTTATTTTATTTAAGGTTCGATACTGCTCGATTTCTCTGGTATTGCTCTTAATTTGATATGTAAAAAAGTATCAAAATTAATCAAGTTACTGGAATTTTTTCATGAAAAACACAACAGCTGCTCTCGTATTTTCTAGCAACAATAGACATCTGGTGGATAGTGCATGATGGAGGCATCCTAATGCTGCTGGGGTTCCTGCTGCGACAACACAAAGTGTGGCGCCACACTACTATGCGCATATTTACAGTGGCCCAGCCGGAGGATAACAGCATCAAGATAAAGAAGGATCTGGAGCAGTTCCTCAGTCTACTCAGAATCGAGGCCACAGTTGATGTCATCGAAATGGTATCAGATTACAGTTTAAAAGCAGAAGTGTAGTTTGAAGTCTGAGTTTTCTTGGAATATGTATATAGGTAAACCGAAGTATCGAATCGAATCAATTCATTTAGGTGCAAAAAAGTCATCTTTTGAAAATTGATGAAATGAGAAAAAAGTGTTTTTGCTTTATCATCTTCAAAAAAAAACTTTTTTTTCTTGGTAACAGGCTACCACAGCTTCGGAAGATTGCTGAATCTAAATCTGTCCTTGTTCTACTTCGTGATGCTGGCCTTTCCTGGATTAATGTGTCATCTTCTGTTTAGCCTAGTGACGATATTTCGGCGTATACATACGAGAAGACTCTGATTATGGAACAGAGAAACAAATTGCTGCAGAATCTCAATATGTCCCGACGAGAAAGTCGGAGAGAGGTTAGTCATTACAAGAAATAAGTCAGGTATGGTTTTGTCGAGCATGACTTAAACGATAAGTGAAGCATGACTTAATTATGTATTGACACAACCGAGGGTATTCTATTTCCCCTACCAACTCGCAAATAAACTCATTAAGAGGTACTTTTGCTATAATCACTATCTGTAGCAGGGGCGGATTTAGGGAGGGGGCGGACGCCCCCCCCCCCCCTCTCAGGGATTCGACCCCCTGCCGACCCAAAGGGTAAGAAATCCAGTTTTGGCCGACGAACCCTAAATTTTTCTAAAGGCGCCTTTGGCGTCAATATATACTAAATTTTCCAAAAAGTACCTAAAAATGCCTTTTTTGGACTGTTTTTTCAAAATTTTGCCAGCGGCGCAGAAAATTTGGCCAAAATAGGGACTAAACAGGCTTAGGGAGAGCTCGAAAAGTCAATTTGGTCGACCTAAAAAAAAGGTCGACAAAAATTTCGAAAATTTTTTGAGAATCCGCCCCTTCGACCCCCCCCCCGAGAAAATCGTAGATCCGCCCCTGATATGTAGGGTAATCACTGTCTGCAGAAATAAGTTTATACGTGGTTTAATTTTGCGGCATTGCAGTATATTCTTGTATTTGTTTTATTGGTGGCTAGATTTTTACTATTGACATGCAAACTTGGCGTAGATGCTAGAATGTGTGACTCTTAATCTCCAGGTCAAGGTTCGATTTCTGCGCATAAGAGTTAGAGTTTTTATAAGTTTGACCGTATCTTTCCTTTCTCTTCACTTTTTGACCCTTTTAGAGCTACTTTCTGCTGTTTTCTCGCTGGTTTTCTCTGTTTGATGCTTGGTATATAGTAACGAAAATGCGTGAGAGTAGTCGAGGCTAAAGAGCAATGATATAGGGTTTAGCCAAACGAATTTTAAGTGGGAAACAGTAGCTTCGAATCAAATGCTCTCGTGGAAACGGCTGTAGATGTTCCTTCCAATGATGTTTACTTGCGAAGTGAGTGTATTAGTACGAACCTTCTTTTTTCCCCAACCTAAGTCGCAAATATTGGTGCCACTTTTGGGGCACCTTTACAGATTTTTTCTCAGCATGTGCTTTGACATTAATAAGTAATGAATTAACAAAGTTGATACATTTATAGTTCATCGAATGAACCGAAAAAAGTGATTTGTTTCAAACAACATAACCTTAATGAAAACTCTTTTTCAGAAATTTTCTAACTCAATATATCTCGCACGTTTTGAAATGCATAATTTATACATAATGTGGATTTATTCTTTGAAATTTATTATTTGCAAAGTTAGTGTGGAAGCCTTCAGTTTGTTATATTCCAAATTATTAATTGCAAAATTGAGTCATTTGTAATTGGTGCCACTTTTGCTGAATCGCGTTGGCACAATTTGTTAGCATATGTAGCTGCTTTATTCGTGACTTGTGTTTGGCGGTTGTTAAGCTTGCGTGGCTGAGTGGATAGTGCGTGAGACTCAAATTCTCTTGCATGCAATAGGTCGCAGATTCGAATCCTAGATGTAGCCGAGTTTTTGCTAATTCGAGGCTTATTTCTCCTTTTTCTTATTTCACTTGATAGAGCTGCTTTTTGGTCGTGTTGCCGGAAGTGTTTTGCGAAGGGCAGCTTCGCATCTGTTTACACTTGCGATGGGAGTGTTTACACTTGCAAGCAGCGTAGTGTATTAGTACGAACCTTCTTTTTCTCTAACCTAACTGGCAAATAAATGTGTTTACTTATTTAGTGGTACTTTCTATAATCACGATATGTAGCATAGGAAATTTCATAGCATATGATTTTTTTGTGTTTGTGATTAGGCTAGTGTTTGTGATTTAATTTAGTGATTAGATATATATATATATTTCATTTAGAAAAATTGAGTCAGTGGCTTCCGTCCTATTTTTTTGGCTAGCTGCTGTTCCATTTTTGTGACATCGCAACTGATTCGAAGCTCCGCTTTGCCTCTGTGTTTCAAATTAAGTTTGATTTTTTTTATTTGAACTCTTTTTCAGATTGATTATACTTGAGATTAGCCTGGGCATTGCACATGTTTACTAGACGTTTTTCAGGTCAAAAGTTTAGTTGATAGGTATTATCTCCTTGGAGTTGAAGCTGATAAAATTTGTGGGAATTTTTTAGGCATGTTTGTATCAGTTTCATTTGATTTTTTTTCTCGCTCGGATCTAGATTTACCACCTCGCCGTTTTTTAAACTCTGGCGAGCTTAGTGTGATATTACAGTATTAACTTTTTCCAATCCTGCTAGCAAATAATGGTGCTCATTTTGGTAGCACTTCCGTTCCGAACTGTCGGATTCCAATTTATACTCGCTAAGTGGATCTGAATGCTCAGGTAATGCTTTTGTTGTTCCAATCAATAATAATTTTAATTTTTTGAAGTTTTTGTAGAAGTAGTTTTCTCTAGTCAGCCCCACTCTCGAAGGTAAGGTCAAGGCCGACATTGATCACTTGCTTATCAAAAATAAATTGAGATTCCCCAAGCATGGCTATGTCAGAGAATTAAAACAACTTCACACATCAGAAATTTCTCAACGAAAAATCTAGGCTACTTGGCAAAATACTACCACTATTTTCCGCCAACGAAAGTAAAATTGGCCAAAAAACCAGATAAACATCTCACAGTTTTGATCCGTAAACGACTTATTTGATTAGTTGCCATCTGAACAGCAAGGTTACCGACGTCTGCCAAAGTTGTTAGTTAGGACCGCGCACGACCGAATTTCTATTTAATTGCCGAGTGCTCCCTATCTTCTTTGACAAATTACAGACTATTCAGAGTTAATGAACGTGGTTTAGTCCATGATATAGACCGTGGAGATTTTTTTCCAGAGTCAATGAACGTGGTTTAGTCCATGATATAGACCGAGGAGATTTTCTTAAAGTGAAGTCTTATTTCTTTGCTCAGGCTCAAATTTGTTTCATTGCGATTTTAGAAATTAAGTTCATTTTCTTTGTTAAAAAGGAGGCAAACTCGAACTGAGAAAGTGTAAAGGTCACAAAAAAAGCCTATTTCTAATTTCAAAAATGGATTTTTATTATCAGTTTTCCCAGCAAAGTAAAAAGTTTACCTATTGATCCAGTTTTCTCAAATTGAGTTATTTTTATTAAAAAAGTGTCAAGCTTAAATTGCTCTTCGTTCTAGAAACTCAAAGCTTTAAGGCTATTTTCTCCTTTGACATTTGCAAGTCAGTTTTTTCTTTGCGTTCATTGACACTTTTCGAACTGTCGGTTGGCCATATTTTTGTTCTAAGGCTGAAAACATTTGGTAAATCATGATAATTTTTTGTTAAGGCAACATTCTTTTAAAATTTGTTCACGCTCATGTTTGATTTTTCCTGGTTAAACTTTTTTACGGAATAAAATGTTACATTTTGATCCTTTATTATCCAATTGATTTTTGGTCCCTTTTTTCATAAAATTTGCTTGCGGCTCAGAAAATTTTTCAAATTGTATTTAAAAGGTGATTTTAAGTTAGGAAAATTAATTTGGTCGACTTAGAAAAAAAACTTTGAAAATCCCCTCCCCTCGAGAGAAAGTAAATCCGGATCCGCCCCCTTCTTTATCTGATTTGCTTCAATAAGCAATTGATCTAGATTTAACTCCTGATATTAACCTAGCATGTAACTGTCTCTCTGTATGCTCATGCATTATCCCTACCCGTTTGATGTATGAGGTTCCCTTATGCCCCGCGTGTGTAGGTGCAAGTGCTGACTGACTCACAGCGCCATAAGTTCTCCGTCACTGCTCAGCTGAATGCCTCATATCAGCCGCAGATATCCACATCCTTCGAGGACCAGACTTCGGAACTGGCTGAGGGGAAGGAGAATGCAGGCGCAGCTATGGTTACTATATCGCCCCCACCTGAGGAGGTAGTGTATGAAGTCTAGCTTGTGATTGGGAGTAAAAATTGAGCATCCAGTAGTAATATTGGCTTCACCGCCATTCATAGAATTCACATTACTCTTTATTGAGTATAGGATGGCGTCTAAATTTAGTTCTTGCTGGAAGAATTTGACCGAATAAATGTTTTGGATGTTGAATTATCAGTTGTTTCTTTTTCTATATTTTGTCTGATCTCACCTATCGTTTCGTGTTCCCTGTTTTAAGAATGTTAATGTTTGAAGTTAAAAGGATATCCTAATCAAATTCATTTTCCAGCTATTTCAAGCTACCTTCGCAGCCATAAGTTGCGATTAGAGAAGCACAGAATCCGTTTTTTTGTTCATTAAGCTACTAAAAAATCGGTTAATTGAAATCAATTGTATAGGTAGTGAATTCGACCAGTGGTCTGTTGAAGTTCTACGTCAGAAATGAAAAAGATATAGGAAACAACAACGAGTCAGTAGTAGATGGACCAATTGCGGAGATTACTTCGTCCGAAAACAACCACCTGCCGCCGACCTCAGAGAAGAAATCGAAGGGGATGTCGACTTCGTTCTTGGAGCCACCAGATACGGGAGCTAAATTGAAACCGTAAGTTTCTATTGCACTTTCAAACATATTGATTAACATAAAATTGTATTGTATTGAATAACGTGAATTGAATTCCCAAACAAGGTGTTCAAAACTGATTTTTTTCCCATAAAAAAACGTCTACAGGCTGTGTTGTGGAAAACATCCTTATAATTGGTGTTTTGGGTGAGCTGGGAAAACAAAATACTTAAAAACTTACTAATTTACGGTGAAATCTCTCAGAGAAGGTCAAAATGGTATTATTTTTTCGTTTCAGAGATGAGAAGAATGTGAAGGCTATGGATGCGGCGGAGAAGTTGAACACGGTGGTGATTGAGAAGTCTTCAGAGAGCAAATTAGTGTTCATCAATTTACCCGCTCCGCCACACGTCAAAAGTCCGCAGAAGTTTTACAATTGTAAGTGAACGACTGAAGCGTGAATCAAAATTGATCTCAGCTAAAGGATTTTGAGAAAAAAGTTCTGGAAAATATTCGGTCATTTCGTTCGTCTCCTTCAATGGTCTATTTTAAAGTACGCGTAATTAAATTGTCACAAATTGGGCCTTTTGATCGTATGTTTCGATCGGGAATTAGGCTTTTTTCCTGTATGTGAAAAATATTTCACTTTGTTTCAGATTTCCAATTTGTGGAATCAATGATTAAGGATCTGAAGATGCCAATTGTTCTGGTGCGTGGCTCAGGAAGAGAATTCGTCACCATCTACTCATAGCCTTAGTTGCTGAATTCACTAACCCCCTCCCCAAGAAATGTATAAATTTATGATCCCAAAGACTTTTCACTTTTCAATTAAACTGGGGCTTGGCTACATTCAACTCACACCTTTCTTTCTTTGACTCTTTAGTGTACTAATTATATTGAGTGTTTTTTTTTATTATTGGATTGTTTTTTCTTCTGTTGTTAACTAGACAATTAATGTAAGTGATTTAGCCAGCCGCAATTTGTTTTATTTTAGCTCCGAGTTTTGATTTTTTTCCCATAATTTCGAACTGCAAAATTCAGGCTTTTAAAATGTTTTGAAGATTTGTAGTTTTCTTACTTGGCGTTGACGTTTTCTGGCTACTGAAATATTCAAATTGTAACTGATGTCAATATCTATGCATTTGCTTTCGTTTGCACTATTTTTGGCCATGACAAAAGGGGTTCAAACCGTTGGTTATACGACGATTTTTGTACATTTTAATTGCAATACTAACGTATTTTTTAGACGACAAGGCACAAATTATTAATGAGCGTTCAACATTCATTTAGCCAAAAGTTGTAAAATAAACGTGGCACCCCAATAACTACTCTCCTCTCTCTAGACTTTATTATCCCTTTCCTTTAAAACGTTCTGACTTACAACCAACTCCATTAAACGCAATCACATCATAAGCAATACTTCATGGCAGTTACTTATAAAATTTTGGCAAAAAAATGAGAGTTAATGTTTCCATTTTAAATGGGATGTTTTCGTAGCAGAACGTGTTCATAGGTCTCAGATTTCTCGAAATGTTTACTTGCTCGAGATCCTTAAGTTTCTTCCAGATAATTTATTTGAAAGAAGTTCTGCTACCGAAGTTTCATTAGAAAAAATGCAATAAAATAAACTGTGATATTTATTAGTTTCATTATCTATTGGTGCTGATCAATTTCGCCAGTAAATTGCGTCATTTCCAGTGCAGTTTTTTTACTAGTGTCATTTCTCTTTAACCAGATGTTGCCATTTTTTCTCTTGCTTGTTTGCATTTTTGAAGTGCAACTAAGTCGTGCTAAATCACCAATGAAAATTTCAATTTGCAGGCCATATGTCTAGTTTCTGAGGGACTAAATTTTAAAGGGTTCGATTGTCGGTCCAACTATAAATAGTACTGGCATTTCCCGCGTATGTCATGGTTCGAAACCTGACGCAATCTCTCAAAAGTTATTAATTGATGAATAAGTGATTTTTGCTTCAATTTTTTTGGAAAAGCTCGTAGAGATTGTGATGACAAGAGCCTAAAAGTAGCGACCTGATTGGTGGTCTAACCTAACCTTTGAGCAATAATACTTTCGCATTTTATGTCTGTGATTCCACTGAATGTTGTATATTTATTTAACTGAACTTCAAATACTTGCAGTACATTCTCAAGTGCAAATACTAGAATAGAAATCTTATACACTGGTATTTTCACTGAGCTGTAAAAAAGGAAAAAGTTCTTTATGAGGAAGATCCATGATTTTTTTGCTCACAATTACTCTTGAAGTTTTCTCGCTTGTGCTCACGGAGTGCAGCTTTGCCTTTGTGTAGATACTTATAGCTCCAAAAAATGAAAATGGAGAGTAACTTTGTATTCGGGCGGATGTGCCTAATTTTTGTTTTCCAAGAAAAATCAGGTACCATAAATAATCATCGGGATAGGTCTAGTGATATATCATTTCAAAGCCCTTAGGGTCGAGATTTGTCCCTGTATCAAAAGGAAACTGGTTTGAATTATTTAGTTGTAATTTCGAGCAACTAAAGCTGTAGCGATTGAGTAGAAAATAAATTTAACGTTTGATATCTGAAAATTGGTTCTTTAGGCGCAATTAACTTGATTTTACTAAAAAGAAAACTTGTTATGAAAGCTTGCTTGACAATAAAGTTTTTCTGAAAAACTTCAAAATCTTTTGTTCAAAAAAGATTTTTTTCTCGAGTTTTTCAATGTTTTCGTTTGTTATTAGCCATGAACGTAGTGAATACTCTTATAAAAGTGTTGGTGATTTTTTGATGTTATTTTCTAGGAAAAAGTCCTTAAATTTGTTCACTCTCAAAATTGGTTTTTCGCAGTTTGACTTTTGGTTTCCTTTTAAGTTCAGAGAATGAACTTAAGTTAAAAGAAAAATTTCCTTTTAAGTTAAAAGAAAGGCCAACTGTTGTTTGGGTCACCAAAAAACATGATTGATTTCTAATTTCAAAAGTGGAACTTAATTTAAATATTTCCCAGCGGAATAAAAAATTGAATTATTGATCCAGTTTTCTCAATTTGATTTAATTTTATCAAAAAAGTGTCAATCGTTAATTGCTGTTGAATTTCAAAGAGCTTAAAGGGTATCTATTTTTTCTTTTAAGTTCAAAACTTGAAGTTTTTCAACAAAATAAGTCAGTAATTTTTTCTGCTTACTGATGTTCATTATCTCTTTTCCAACTGTTTGTTGGCTATTTTATCATATTAAAGTGCTTTCAGACCTAATGCTTTAATTCGAACGACATCAAAAATGTTTCAAAAAGTTGCCCCATTGTCGAGAGAAATTGGAGTTTTAGTGCAATTTCGAGAGAGTAAAGCAAGCGATCAGAATTTTTACAGAAAGATAGGCCATGAATTTTTAGTTTTACGCTAGTAAAATCATTTTTTAAGCTTTTTTCAGTGCGGTCCTGGAATAAAAACTTCGGACGATACAAAAAAGTATCTGCAATTTAATTGAAAAAAGTTTTTGAACTTTTTTTGAAAATTTTAAATGATTTTTTTTTTGTTTTTCTTAGTCATTTTTTGACAAAATTAATGCCCCATTTGCCTGTTTTACTGTTATTGTCGAATATGCCTAAATTCTAGCCTTTCTCAAATCCTTTCATCACACCATGCAAAAAAGACGACACTAATTTGAGAAAAATATATGTTATTTTTTAAGACTATTGTCAGTACGTTCTGTGCTGCTTGCTCAGCAACCGGCTATCCTTGTTAAGTCTTTTCCCTTGTGATCAGCAAGAGTATTGCCATCGGATACTATTTTTTACCGTATGTAACGTTGTTCTCAGAATGATTAAAATTAGAAGTGGTAAATTTAGGTTCAGTTCGTAATGAATTCAAATTTCTTTGCATCTCCGGCATACTTGGTCTGGTGGTAACTAAAGCGCCTGGGACGGAAAACGCCTGAGTTAAGAAGTGTTTTTTTTTCAAAGGGGAAATATAACGTTTTGAAAACAATTTCGGCTTATTGTCGCCTGCTTATGTCTTGTCGGCTTAGTTGCCATATTGTTTTTATGACCATATAAAGTTGCCAAATACAGTTGCTTTTAATGTTCTGTTTTACCTCTGCTGTTTGCAAGCTTACTACACTTGATTTCCTATGATTTCCTTTTTCTGTTTTTTTTCCGCTTTAAAGCTTTAGTCTGCGCCAATAATTTCGGTCTATTTTTTATCGGCTTTGTGACCAAATTTCGAGTCGTTTCAACGGAAACATATTTGTTATGCTCACCTCTGGAACGCAGAAAATGTTAAAAGTCGTAAAAGAAAAGATAGTTTCTGCTTTTTTGTTTTTTGCTTTTTTTCGGCTTGATAGGTTTCAGTCGATTTTATATCTGCTTATTCTGGGCTGTCAATTCTTGGCTTAGTTTCAGTTGTTTTATACGAGCGAAAAAAGTTTGTGTGTGCGTGTCTGTGTTTTGAGGGCGAGAGGGACTTAAAAACTTCTTATTACTCTCGGCTTTTTCTCGGCTTTTTTTTTCATTTTTCTCGGCTTTTTTTTCTCATTTTTCTTTTTCGGGGATAGTAGAATTCGGGCTATATTATATTGACTTAGTGGTCCCAAATTGTTTCATTTGACGAGCAAATAAAGTTTTTTGACTGTTTGTGTGTTTTGAGGGTCAGGGGGCTTGTTTTTTTGGCTTAAAGGGTTTCCGAAAAGGCATTTTCGACTTGGTTACCGCTTGTATATTATCTTCCGATGCTAATTTCACATTCTATTGTCTTGGCTTGATAGAACTAGGGTTAAAAAATTATTTTCGACTTTTTTGTTTTTCATTGCAAGTGGTGCGAAGCTCAGCTTCGCCTCGATATGCATAAATAGTTTTTTTAAGTATCTTTTTGGCCATATGAGCTTTGTGTCAATTCTTGGCCTAATTTCAATTGTTTTATACGCTTCCTATTAGCAAACGTTATCAAATCGGAATATGAACTTTTTGGCTTGATTGTTTTTTTGGCCTTATGAGCTTTTAGTCAATTCTTGGCTTAGTTTCAGTTGTTTTACATGCTTCATATTAGCAACCGTTATCAAATCGGAATATGAATTTTTTGGTATGTTTGTTTTTGGCATATCTTTTCTAATGGAATGCCCGCAAACGGGTTTTTGAGCATGTATTCATTTGAAATGGCCATATCAATTGAGTTTTTCTTCTTTCTTTCAAAACAACTCTAATTTTCTTGTTTTTTCGCTGATTGTTTTAGTTCTTTGGCTTAAATAGTTTATATGGTAATTTATCTGTTTATTTACCTCCAAATTTGTCGTTCGAAGGCCAAAAATATTTTTTTTTGCATTTGTGCTCTTGACAAACAGGAGTGTGATAAACAGGAGTTCAAGATTTTTATAGCTCAAAAGTTTTTACAGCATTTTTGAGTAATTTTTCGTCTACCCAAGTGTTGTCCGCTCAAGTACCGTTTGATGAATGGTGTTTTTCATTATTTATTTCACACTGGCAATTGTATTTCTCAGTATCTTTTTTAAAAGTGAACCACTTCGAGACAAATTTTAAAAAATGATTTTTTTCCTAGCCATTTTTTTGACGTTTCGGAAGTGGTGCGAAGCTCCGCTTCGCTCTTGTATCGAAATATGTTTTTAATGGTGCTGGAAATTTACTGACGCCAATTTGGTTTGTATCCTATTCGGTTTCCTATTTTGCTTCATTGGGTGTAAAAGGTTCCGCTTATAATAAATTGGCTTCGACGACACATTGGGTCATTCGATGTGGTGAAATCAGTTTTTGCAGAAACTTGTGTTTCGACTTATTTTTTCGAGTTGCAGAAATGTTTGAAGCCCAACATTTTTTAATGATGTCGTTTTATCTGGCCCAACTGGTGCTTGCCACGATTTTGTCGGCTTAGTTACCGCTGCATAAGTTTTGATTCGAAACTAATTCATTGTCTTCATTTGGCATGTTATCCTCGAAATGAACATATACAAATCGAGACAAACGAACGAAATACGTGCTAGTCTTTTTCGACGTTTTTTAAACTTCTCTCATCTCATTTTTGTCAGCTAGCTTGCCATGCTTTGTTTGTTTGGTATCGTAGTAGTAGTGAGAAACTCCGTTTTGTGTTTATGTACATTGTGTTAGCTATTTAAACCTTGGCTTTGAATGAATAGACTGTGATTACTCAAGAGGGCGAGCCACATTTTACATAGTGGGACCGTGAGCTGGAAGACTGGGCTCGAATCACAGGCTTTCCGTGTTCTTTATAAAGCTTATATTTTTGAAATCATCTTTCTAAATCTCTCTGCCGTTTTGAGAGCTTTAAACTGTTTCGCTGTTTCGAGAGCTACTCACGCCAATTGACAACGTCATTTATACATTTAGTTAGCTGTTTACACCCAGGTCCTGAAGTCAACTTTCAATACAGCTTTTTCCATTGATTATTATGGTCGGAACATGTTGTGATATTTGTAAGTTCATTTAGCAAAAAAGTGGAAATGGATAGAGTCGAATTGTCTAAAAATCAATTATATTTTCTGTTTTCTTGCATGTCATGTTATTGTTGTCCCGACCATTTGAAAAATGCGGAGGAGCTTTGTATTTGGGTGTTCAGTTTTTTTTTTTGTTCCGACCATTGAAAATGGAGAGGAACTTTGTATTCGGGTATGTTAGTTTTTTTCTTTTTTTTTTGTTTTCACGCGAAGATTTCAGTGTCGAGAAAATATTCAAAATTTTTGATTTTGAATTCAATTTCGACCAGAAAACGCAATTGATTAACGTTCGTTATATGGAAGTTAAAACAACTATTTTTGTTAAAATTTTAGGCTATCAAGAAGTTTTGGGTGTTTCTTTCAGCGCGTAACGTATTTGACATAAAGATTTTAAAAGTTCAAAGAAATTTAAAAATATGGTCGGAACAATCATATTTTGTTTTGGCTTCCACCAGATTCACGCAGCAACCAGATCTCCTTGTCTTAGCTTTGGGCTTGTTTGCTTAACGTCTATGAAATGATTGCAGCCCAAGATCTGTTTTTATGATGAAATTTAACCAACAATTTTTCGTTCAAAATCTTTATAAACATGGCATAAGTGTTATATTTTGAGAAATGAGAAGTGCTTGTGTTTTAGTACGTTGCTAGTTTTAGTAACATAATGCGCGCATTTATGTTCATTTAACTTCGCAGTTTTTTTAATCAACATATTTGCCGCTTGCCTAAAAATGTTCGTTGCTTAACCTA